AGATTTCAAGATTGCCAAATTGCTTTCAAGCTTAATGGGATTTTCGTTATTGTTCTTTAAAGAAACGTTATCACCGATAACCTTTTCAATCAAAAAAATGTTAGTTTTAATAATGGAAATGTGTCTCAATATTTCAGGTTTGTATTTTAACAAAATAACGAGATCTCTTGTGAGCCGTACTATGTCGCTACTAATACTTGACACTGACAAAGAAGACATAGTTACTGTAGTAACTTAATTACTTACTTACTGTAATTAACAACTTAACAAATATATCCAATGTAATGCTAAGTTTAGCGAACGAATCCACACACGGATATAGGTACTTGCAAATTGATTCACAGACAAGCGAGATGTACCATCGAAATTTGTGGACTCAATTAATCATTTGTAGAACTACCACCTTATATAGTGGCATAAGTAAGAGCAATCAACTCGTCTATAGAACCGGAAACGACACACTCGCAGATGCTGATTCAGCTTTTCGGAAATATAATATGCGCTATATTTCTTTTCCTTCAAAGTTTTATGCAAACACAGGCATTAGATACCTCCGTAGATGCTGATTCAGCTTTTCGGAAATATATGCGCTATCTCTTTTCCTTCCGAGTTTTATGCAAACATCGGCACAAGTTCTATAATAAATAATTAAAATTTCTACCTATTGATCAGTTATTGTTCTTCTATGCAACATGACCAAAGAAACTAAGAAACCCAGTAAACTGTCTTTAAAAATAAGTGTTTGGAAAATCGCGCTCTTGAAAAAAAAATTTTTTTTACGGGTATAGATATTGAATAATTATTCCAAAATGGTATCAAGTATGTACATTAGGCCATTGAATGAGTATACAAAAAAAAAATTTAAAATGCCATGACGGCTAACCCGAAAATTGAACTTTTAAGTATTACAATGCAACGTGTCACTCAAAGTACGTACCCAATGGCTTTATGTAATTACCATAATATTAATACTCAATTTCCAACTCGTTTTGATTAACACTGGTGTAGAAAAATACCTACTAAACCTTCAAAAATTTCAAACCAAATTTTTAATTTATTATCACGACATTTCCTTATACAAATGCACAGCATTGATATCGACATTGAAATGCAGTCCATACGCGCTCTATGCTTACACGGCGATATAATTATAGAACAAGCGGCAATTTTTTTATATTCATATACGTACATACTAAATAATATGGTAAGAATCCAATCTTTTCTAGTTCATTGCATTCTACCTTCTTACCAATTCACAAACAAAATACTGACCGGTCATTTCTAATAATTGACGAACTCTCCATTTCGTAACATACCTACTATAGATATTTATCATTTACGAATAAAGTTGACTGTTTTGATTTATGAAATATTCTTATCAAAATCAACTTTCTATTGCAGTTTTTAATTCCAATTCTATTGAAACGGTTAGTATCGCATTCATGGTTGATATGAGCATCGTCATATGTAGGTAGTTATTATAATGTAAAATTGTTTTACACGAAATCAATATTCTCGACGCAGTAGAAGGTACAGCAGGAACATTAGGTTTGCTGCAAAAGATTGTATTTGTTTAAATACTTTAATGAAATAAAAAAATTACATGTTAGCAATAAAATCAGCCGCTTCGGTTCTTGGACTTTGCATTCACAAATCCTATCCAACATTTAACTTCTTCACCCTTCGCTCGCAGTCGATCATTTCTACGTCCCACTTTAATCTTCTGATGTTCGTTAATAACTTATCGATTCTACTTTGTAGATCCACATGCTTCTTCTTTCTGCTCTCAACCGATTGACTGATTTTGCTCATGTTGTTTGACTTAATTCCGATTTTTAATTAAGTACCACACAGTGCATCTCATAAATTTATACCTTTCCACATCAAAGATAAGAACAACCAGAAACCAGAAAAGTTACTTACAAAGTAGTGGGGGTGGCACTAGGATTGGAATTACTAACATTTTAGTAACTGTTCTGGTGCCTTTTTACATTAAGATCAGCATTACTACTTTTTTAGTAACGTTTCTGGTGATTTTTTGCATTAGGATCGGCATTACTACTTTTTTAGTAACTTTTGTGGTAACTGTTTGCATTAGGATCGGCTTTCTAGGAACTTTTTTTGCGTTAAGATCGAGCCTAGTAACTTTTCTGGTGACTTTTTGCGTTAGAATTGATCCTAGTAACTTTTCTGGCGACTTTTTACATTACTACCTTTTTAGTAACTTTTCTGGTGACTTTTTGCGTTAGAATTGACCCTAGTAACTTTTCTGGTGACTTTTTGCATTACTACCTTTTTAGTAACTTTTCTGGTGACTTTTTGCGTTAGAATTGACCCTAGTAACTTTTCTGGTGACTTTTTGCATTACTACCTTTTTAGTAACTTTTCTGGTGACTTTTTGCGTTAGGATCGGCCCTATATAACTACTTATGGAGATCCAGCCTATTCTACAGGGTGTCCCTAAAAGGTCTGTACAACGCGCTACCAGGGGTTCTTGGTATCAAAATAGGACGATTTAACCCTACTTACCTCTATCCAAAAGTGCTTCGGTAAGGCGCTATCTACCGCCAAAGATTCAAAAAACAAATCGTTATTTTTATTTTATCGGAAAATGGTTTTGCCGATTAAAATGAAATTCGGGATGTGAATGTCTAATGTAAAAAGGGTCTTTGTGATATCATCGTTTTGATTGTAGTTGCTATCTAGGTGGTAAAATACTGACCATCCACATCTGAAGAGGTCTAAAACTTTTTAACTACTATTTTGACGGTTCTGAATTTTTAGACACTGATAGACAGTTTACTTGCAAACATTTTTTGTCTCTTGATGAATATCGCTATCGGTGATGGTTTACGAAAAAAAAATAAATTTAGGCATGATGAATGGCATGCACCATACATGCGATTGTTCCTCAAAAACCATAAGTGCAAGCAAGAAGTAGGCTATGAAACCGTAGTGCAAGCAAGTAATGTAGAATAAACGAACACAACAGAGTAAGTCAATGTAAATTTTCACGCATACATGATACAAAGCATTATACGGCGTAATAAATTAAACTGTGCCCTTTGCAACATTGGTACGTTATTTTTTAAAGTTTTAAGTCTTCAAGCAAAACGTAAATTGTTACAGTTTAAGAAACAACAAACAAACGTTACGCCACTCTAAGGTTTAACAGCCATCTTCTGATTTTTTGAGGAACAATCGCATGTATGGTGCATGCCATTCATCATGCCTAATTTATTTTTTTTTCGTAAACCATCACAGATAGCGATATTCATCAAGAGAAAAAAAATGCTTGCAAGTAAACTGTCTATCAGTGTCTAAAAATTCAGAACCGTCAAAATAGTAGTTAAAAAGTTTTAGACCTCTTCAGATGTGGATGGTCAGTATTTTACCACCTACATAGCAACTACAATCAAAACGGTGATATCACAAAGACCCTTTTTACATTATACATTCACATCCCGAATTTCATTTTAATCGGCAAAACCATTTTCCGATAAAATAAAAATAACGATTTTTTTTTTAATCTTTGGCGGTAGATAGCGCCTTACCGAAGCACTTTTGGATAGAGGTAAGTTGGGTTAAATCGTCCTATTTTGATACCAAGAACACCTGGTAGCGCGTTGTACAGACCTTTTAGGGACACCCTGTATAAGAGAATTATTAATTGCACCCTACCGTAATCGGAATTTGAATGAAGAGCAGCAAAATTTTAATAGACGCATGAATGCAGTATGACAAGCTGTAGAATGGTCATTTGGCAAGGTAGCCAGAGAGTTTGCTTTTCTTGATTTTAAAAAGAATCAAAAACTGTTACTGCAGGATTTGCAAAAAATGTATGCAGTAGGAACAATTTTAAGTAACTGCCAAACATGTACATATGGCAATCAAATTTCTGAATATTTTGGAATGGTTCCCCCTACATTACAACAATACCTAAATAATTATTAATCGAGTTATTAATTATGTTTAAGTATGACCTGTTTCATATTTTCATGTATATTAAAATGGTAATACATTGATGTAGTTTATAATTATGATTTTTTAGATAAAAGGTTTCAAATAGTATATATACACTCTTGTTGTTTGTTAAATAATTCAGATGTTTGATTTTGCTGCTCCTTTTCAACCTGTAGTCGCTGTAGACGTTCTTCTCTTTGCAAAGCAAACTTATTCTCTTCTAGTGCTAATTTTCTTTCTTCCAAATTCATCTTTCTTTCGTCTAATTGTAGCTGTTTTTCTTTCAACTCCCTTTCCTTATCCCATTTCTGTTGTAGAATAAGTAGACTATCCGAAATTTTACGAGATTTTCGTTTATGTGATGGCTCTAGAAGTAGTTGTTTAATACAATTAACAAGTGTTACCAAATCCAAGTACCAAGTATATTTGATGTTGGAGTTGATGTTCCGCTGATTTGTTCGTCATATGGATTTCTCTGTACGCTATTTGTTTCATTTTCCATTACTTCATCTTCAACAATAGTATATGTAACTACAATTACAAGTGTAAGGCAATGTACATTTTTGTGTTCTACATTCCACCTTCTGCATTACATGCCGCAATTGTTGCTGGCGCATCACGCACAAGTGACCCTTGCCGTTTGGACGAGCTGGAGCTGGGATTAAGAGTCTTTGTATTTGTTTTGCACTGGAATTCTCGCCTCAACTCCGTAATTTCTGTCAACAATCTGACCTTTTCATCGTACTCCTCCTCCGTGCCTGATCTATAACACTTAGGTACAGAGACCACATTTTTTGTACACGTTTGGCATACCTACTTTTTTAAATTAGCAGCATCTTCTTTCATAAAAAGTTTCAATAAATATTCCAGATGATCCTTTACACCATGTAATGTAAAGGATTTTCCAGAGACTTCTATTAAAGTTTGATGCACCCTATCCCAACCTGAAGAATCTTCGTATGGATTTTCTACCAAAACACTCTGTAAGGGCCAGTTGTACAATGCATTGAACTATAACCATAATGGAATGCGTACGCAAGTGTAATTCTTAACTAAAATTTGGTCGACTGGGTTAGAAAAGGCACGCTGTTGAGAAGTGGGATGCTATCTTTGTCACTTGCTGTTGTTTACGTTATGCATGCAAGTACGTCTTTATAATTTGCCTGTTTTCTGGTGTTTTCTCTTCATTGGAATTTAAAATGGTTAAACATTGCTGTGCCTATGGTTGCAGCAATGAATGGAATCCAAATTTGAATATTCCATTCCATACGTAAGTACATTTACTATTTTAGGTTATGTTAAGCGAATCTTTTATACGAAAAGGTGAAGTTTCTAAAAGAGGATCCTAGTTGTATCTTAAATAATTTACTTACAATTAACCCTTGGCATGCCGCTTTAACCAAATCAATTTTTAATTTACAGATTTCCTCTAAAACGGCCTGAGATATTACGATTATGGGTTCAAGCAGTTCGGTTAGTAGGGTTTAAACCAACTGCAACAACTGTAATTTGTGGAAAACATTTTACCCCAGATTCATACCTGGAATCCGCATTAAATAAAAATTTGTTAAAAAAAGATGCAGTCCCTTCGATTTTTAACTTCCCAAGACATTTGATGAAAACCATGACAGCGAGAAGAGAAATTATTCGACACGTCAAAACTTTTTGAAAGTAATAATTGAAACATTAAGACTGTAGATCATTAAGTTTTCGCTTTTAGGTAAATAAGGATTGCAGTAGTGACTGCACTATGGACGTTGACGAATTCCTTAATACAAATGACAAAAATACGCAAACATCTCCCAGAAAATTAAAGAGATCCCTAGTAGAACAGCGAATGTCTCGCAAAATAAAAATTTTGCAACAGAGGCTAAGAAGACGGGAGAGTAGCATTAAAAATATGAAAGATTTAATTAATCTCTTACGAAGCAACAAGAAATCTGATGGAGATTTGGAAGACACCCTTTCGAGAAACTTCAGCAATTTTGCATTGGAATTGTTCAAATGTGAAGCTGGTAACAAAAAAGTGGCCCCTACACAACGTAGATATACCGAAGAAATGAAAGCATTTGCTTTAACTCTTTATTTCTATTCTCCTAAAGCGTATCAATTTGTTAGGAGCAAAATTTTTTTACCTCATTGTTCAGTAATGAGAAAGTGGCTGTCTTCTCGAAATTGTGAAGTCGGTTTATTATCAGAAGTTTTTGAATTTTTGGCTAGAGAAGCCCAGCATAAAAGTAGTAATATATAGCCGCTACGAAATCTCACTAGATGAAAATCCCTAGAAAAGTCACTAGAATTGAGTGGTTCTGAACTGCGGTAGCGAGGTTTGCGCCTATGCTAACGTCAAGGGGGTCGAGGTTTGCGCTCGAGATAAAGTATCGGAGGTTTGCGTCCGAGCTAAAGTAAGTCGGTTTGTGCCTGAGGGTTCTTGTCGATGGTAGTGTACGGCCGATTCTAAATCTCACTAGATGAAAAATCCCGTAGAAAAGTCACTAGAATTGAATGGTTCTGAACTGCGAGGGTTGCGACTGAGCTAACGTCAAGGTTCTTGTCTAAAACGAATATATGGCTGTTTCTAAATCACACTAGCGTTAAGAGGTTTGCGCCTGGGCTAAAGTAATTTGATCATGTTGGAGGTTTGCGCTCAGGCATTGATTATATACTTACGAAAAGATAGGCCACCTCCTTGTTAAAAAGCGTTATAAATATGTATGTACTTACAGTTACGGAGCCATCTATGTAATAGTACATCTTATTAAATTAAACGTTTCAAGTGCAGAATTCTATTAATTTTAGCCAAGATCTTCGTCTCAGATCCTTAGGAAAGTAATATTGATATTAATGAATCACATTCATAACACTCGTATTTAAAAATGGTATCGTGTTCCTTCTTATCACAAGTAGGTAATTTTATAATGACAATGTTTCCCTTTATGTTCAAATTTTCTTCAAAACGATACACACTACAGTCTTCGTATTAGCATTGAATAATAATTTTATGGTATTAGGTACATACTACATAGGTACCTATCCAATTTTGATTTTTAAGGCAGCGCGATTGATTTATGGAGATGATTTAGTTTTACCTCCTTATGATTGTTTAGGGATTTGCTTACGCGGCGCCGGGATCTCATTGATGTCGTCGGCTATTTTAGACAGAGGTACTAAGTTTATGGCATCTTTGTTATAACTATAACCCTTAGGTACTTAAAAGTATAATTTTCGCCCAATTCACTATATATACCGTTAGCGTCCCATCTGGTTTTTATTACCTAAATGGGGTATATCGGTATATCTGTCAGTGCATCTCTTAAACTGCAACTGCAGACTGCATTCGTTGATTGTTGTTGTTTCGCGCTTTTCACGACTTTAATTAATAAAAAATATTATAATTAGTAAAATGAGTACAGCTTCCCACCGTTGTGTGTATTTTGACTGTGACAATACTCGAAAAAAGTGTCCCCAATTGGTGTTTTTTAAATTTCCTTCAGAACCAAATAGGCAAAAATTATGGGTAGAAAATAGCGGCAATTTGAACCTACTTGACATACCTAATGAACAATTAAAAAATAAACTTATATGTGAAAAACATTTTGATCCAAGTGTAATCATATGTGGCAGTTCGAAAAGGAAATTAGTTGGACATGCTGTACCGTACCAATTCGGTGCGGTGGAAACGCCATGCTCTTCTAGAAATGCTGCAGAATATGAACTCTCTGTAAAGCAGCCGATTACGAAAGTTTATTCAAAGAAGACATTTTCTGATGATTTATCCCAAGCCGAATCTGACAAACGCGAGACCAAACGTAATTTAGAACAGGAGGAAGTGCATTATCTGACACCGGCCAAAAAAAGACGAGTAAGTGTACCTGAGCCAATTTATGTATCTTTACTTTGTGCTAAAAAAGAAACCGCGTAGAACGAATATAGTTACATTTTTCGACAACCGTCAGTTTTAAATCACTTTTCCACCTATCGATAATGTTTTTCGATCTAATCTATCAAGAAAAATGCATTTGTCGATCAGGCGTTTATGGATCTACAAGAAAGACAACACCCAGAACAACATCATGTCAAAAAAAATTTTAAATGTTTTGCTACCGTATGGTTATCGCTATTATGGTTTATCGATATTTAAAGACTATGCAAACAAACTGTATTGTTAAATTGTATCAAATGTATCAAATTCACGTTGTAAAAGAGCATTTTGGAGAAAGATACACGTAGGATGGTGCTATACAGGCTGATTCAAATGCGCCACCATGGGGATCTCGGAAACTGTAACATGTAGCTATAGATAGTTTAAATTTGGCAAAGTTGCGTATTTTGATGGTTAACAAAATGCCGATTTGAAAGTAAAAAAATTACGACTACTGTCGGAGATATCCTGAAAAAAACGAAATCTTGCAAAATCGTTTTTATTTTTTACCGAAGTTGTTTAAAAAAAGATTTCAATAAATGACACATTATTATGACCACTTTTTCCCTCTACAAGATGCTAGTTTTAAATTTTAAGTCTGACGTTTCGTTTGGTTTTTCTTATGGAAGCCATTTTTACTTTTTGTGTCAGTTGATAGAGCATTATTTTTCAAATTTCAAAATGTAAATATCACGTTATAGAATTTGGTTACTTTTTGGCACGTACTGAAATAAGATAGTAGTAAGTTGTAGATATACAGTTAGGAGCCCATTCGGCAAAGACTAACACTGTTATCCGCATTTTGAAGTAATGTCCTTTTGTTTTAATTATCTGTGACGGTTGTCGAAAGAAATCAATACAGAATGATGCGTACAAAAAAACTTTTTGGTCCATTCATTCATTAAGAGTAATTTGACTACTTTCTTAAACACGTATTTGCTTTTACAGATGTCCCCTGATACTATCGAACCCTCCCCCCTACAAGATACAACAGTTCCTGTTAAGACGAATACTGTATCTGTAGAGCAATATACGCCTCGAGAAAAAAAGTTGATGCGGAAACTATCGGCAAAAAACGCGTTACTAGTTAATAGTAGAATGAAAACATTAAGAATGAAACGGAAGTTAACCGCCATGTCCAGAAGAAATGTTTTGAGCGGTTTTCTAAAAAACCATTCCAAAGATGCCCAAACATTGATAAATATGACTTTATGTCATAAAAACAATACTAAGTGGACCTCTCAAGAATCAACTCTGGCGTTATCTTATTACTACAAATCACCGACATTGTATAAATACATGAGAGAAAAATCAAAAATACCCTTACCATCAA